TCTGGTTTGATCCGACATGTCGACAAGAGAATTGTTCGAAAATTCTTGAGAACTATAAGTATGATAATAGAAACGCCGAACCATTACGGTAACTGTCGAGCTAAAAAACTCTATGCATTCAAACTACTGGAAAGGCGTATTTATTGATAATTATTCTTCTAAAATCAAGACCAATTTTGCAAAAATAAAAACTTATTATTTATAATAGTATAATTCGCCTAGTACTTTATCAGGCATAGTTAACAGAGCTCCCATAAGAAATGAGAGCGGAGAGTACAAAATTGGATGAAATAAAAATAGTAAGAAACTGTAGAGAGGTGAAAACTTAATTAGATTTCTTAACACCCGTAAAATGGGTTGGATTGAGTATGTATTTGAAATGCATCGTTTAAGAGTTTAACCAACATTTATAGAAAAATAAATCTGATTTAGAAATGTTACGCAATAGAAATTTATTTTATTTTTCTATTTTTGTCTTGAAATTAGAGTCTTTATCACATATGACTAAAACAAAACTTTATATTTTATATTTTCCTTAATGACTCATATTATTATTTATTAAAATATAATTAATTTATTAAAATTTATCTACATAAACATATATATTTAAGTTCATTACAATACACTTAATTTGATTTATATTTATCTTAATAAATATATTTAATTAAATTAATTATATTCTATTTAACTTAAAAGTATATTTTGTATTTGTTCGTTTATTTATTTCTATTATTTTTTTTATTTTATTTTATACAATGTGTATATTGTACATATTTTAAAATTTATTAATTATTTATTGCTATTTACTACTTTATTGTTTTCATCTCATCTAAAGATAGACTAAAGCTTGCTTATAGCTAATATATATTTAGATAATAAACACTTATTATAATAAAGAAGAGAAAAAAATAGTTGTTTGTATGGAACAAGTACTTAATATAGTGTATTAATATTAATACATACTAATAAAGTTAATATCTACAACATAAAGTAACATATTATATACAATATAATAATATTAATAAAGTTACGTACAGATATTTATACAAGTCTATTAAATAATTATTCTATTGTACTTATTAATCTATTTACCGCGTCATATTCTAAGGAGTTGATTTAATGGGTGTCTCCTAGAATTAACTTTCATTTGAAGGCCTAATAAAATTGAGCGCTAATGACCGTTAAATCGCACAGTTTAGAGGTAATATCCCAAGAACTAAGGAACAAAAGAACACACGACATACCGCAGAAGAATGAAGAGAAAAGCATGATAGTAAATTACTAAAGATTCCTAAAGCTTCTAAGTATAAAAAAATCTGATCTCAACCATAAATTTTTATAACTATAATAATTGATCTACTTACTTCAACCGTGAATTGTATTATCACATGATAATGAGCTCGTAGTTAAGTACTTTACTTACTTAGGAGTAATTAACCTTTTAAGTACTTTCGAGAATTTATTTGTAATGTTAAAATAAATTACACATATTTAAAAATAGTTCATATAAAAACTTTGAATAACTAAAATATACTTCGAAAATAAATATTATTTAATTACAATAATTTCATATATTATTATAATTACTTTTATTAAATATTTTAACTAAAACAGAAGCAATTAAGACTCTTTCAGTTAATTTAACACAAAACGTGAGAAATTAATAAATAAACTGACAAATATGAATTTTATATAAATTATTTATTAACTTTGATAAAACGACTAAATGTATGCAATTAACATAATTTTTATTTTATGAAAATAATTTAAATAATTCAAATAAATTTCTTTCAAGTGCAATAATAAAGTATAAAAAGTACAATAAAAAAGTAAAAAATTAAAATTCATCAGCGCTAAGCTGAGAAGAAGAAGCACTGGAAGTTGTGGAAGATATTGAAAAAATTGAATGAAATTCAATTTGATAAGCAGTGTTTTCAATATAACGAATTGACATTTATTAAAGGTAATAAAAAATCTTCAGTAAATTATTTTAAACATATTATTATTATTATCGTTAAGGATGATTATTACAGTTATTAAGAATATTAATTACTAAATTTGAGTTGAGCTTCTTATTTATCTATCATTGCTTTCATAGTGTATTGATACTTTAATATGATATAATCTACAACATATCATTACAATACTTACGGTTAGAAATATTAAGTAATCCTTAATTACTTTTTCAAGAATTACCGCGATGATAACTTTAAACTCTATTGGTTTTAATGGGATTGGTGTGTATATATAAAACTTTTGTATACATTTTATTCCATCGTTTATTTGTACGGGATTCATATTTTGGATCTGTTCGGTCAATTTTGCAAGGAGCTTTTCCCTATATTCTTTATATAGTTTCACATATTGCATACAAAAAAGTTGATATTCGGAATCAAAATAGTGAAAGACTTCTTTTTTTTTTCGAGAATATAGTTAAAAGGATGAGAGCAAATCCAGAGAACTGGTGAATGATAGAGCCATGGATGATTAAAGTCCACAAAGCGAATAGATTAGACCTAAAAAGAATTAACAAAGCAGACATCGAAAAATGCAGTGAAAAAGTACAGGTCCGTACGCAGATCGTAAATTAATAAACCCTTGCATAAACCCTCTCCGCAATAATTCGAAAGCCGTTCTAGGGGAAATTAGTCTTTTCAAAGATGCGGGGTTTTAGTTTGATACTACATATTAATATGTTAGGGAGTCTGTCAAATTTTACCAATGACGGTCGATTTGAAAGTGCATAAAGGATTCCATAAGTGCATAAAGGAAAAAAAGAAAATTATATTTGATTTTCACTTATAGTGGGGTTGACAATTGCCTATTGTGATGTCTGTAAAGTTATTAGAAGCAGACGAGCTATAATATTTATTATATCCAATATGAGAATGTAAAGCAATTTAAAAATATTCTCCAATTTTAGTTTCCATAAAAGACTTATGTCATAAAATAACTCTAAACTAAAAAAAAGGATTGACACTGCTATCTTAAACACGAAGTACTTTTGGATATCCGTCTTATAGGGGTTATATAACAATATAGGGGCTTCATTTCAGCTTCACTAAGTAATTCCATTTCATCGCTTCTAGAGTTAGGAGTTGGAATTAATAACCACGATTTAGAGTTTTAGGTGTTATTTTCTTGAAGATTTGGTTAAGCTTGGACTTAGAAGAAAACCACTTTATTGATTTCTTGTCATCAGAAGAATCATCGGAATAGAATATAGTAGTGCTTCCAGCAGATAAGAGTGCTACGATGTTCTAAATAGTTTAAGGAAATCTTAAAAAACTTAATTTGCAATTTCATTAGTTTTGTTTAAAGCATGTATACTTAAGTAGATGTTTAGAAAAACTAAAATTATATAAAAATTAGTATTTGCATAAGCTAGAAATAGTTCTATTTAATTAAGGCCAAAAATTTTATTGTAAAAGATTTTATGTTATTAAGTTATTAGCACCGAATAACACTGGAAAATATCTATTAAATAGTTTAATACCTTAAACTCTATTCAGAGTATTTGGAGCACTAATTTTATATTTCATATTATAAATTTAACATAATTGTTTAAGTCCAAATGAAGCCATTGTATTTCAATAATTAAGTTTTTTATTAAAATTAATTATCATTTTTGTTTTGTTGTGTAAAGAAATATTTTGACGTGCACTACACATAAAATTTTGCTGTCATAAATAACAACAAACGCGTATTTCAATTCGTAACATCGCAAATATTCTATCGAAATCGATTAACATCCCAACTAATCACTGCACAGTACCGCAGAATACAACGTCAACCAAATAAAATAGGAGCTGTTGTGGCTTTCAATATAACCCAGCAAGAAACTGTCTACCACTTTCTGCCACACACAACAGTGTTGACAGCAAGCAAAGATTTTTGTCAATGATTTCAGTAATGTACGCACTCAAGCATAAGTGACACCACCCACAGCACACTGCACAAATTGTGCCGCATGCCTCGATGCGCCCCACCAATCCCCATCAATCCCTACCACGAACGAAACTTTTGCTTTCGCTTTGGATTTGTCTTTGTTTATCCAACAAACGTTCGACGACTAATGACTGCTTGCATTTTCCACTGCACTCTGCTGTATTGCGTGCTGCTGCGTTCTGCTGTTGATGCTATGCTAGGCTGTGCTATGCTACTTAGCATAGCATCCACTGTAGCCATCCATGTATGTTGCATTTGTCATATATGTTGGCAGCACATATTGAACAGCAAATAAAGTGCGCACTCGGACCAATGCTGCCTTTTCTAAGGGCAGCTTTTCAATACTGCAACTTGGCGTAAAGTGTACATGGTGCCAACAGCAGCAGCAGCGGCAGCATAATTACATTGGCGCTATTGGAAAGTGTTTGCATTGTGCTTTTATCCTGTTTGTTTGTGTGTGGTGCATGTACGCGGACCTTTACTCAAAACAAACGTGCGCATTGCTCAAGCGAACAAATACTTGGAGTAACAGCAATATCCTCCATGTTAGCAGCAGCAACTTTTGTTGCTGACATTCAATATAGTGTACATTTTCAGTGTAGTGTAGAAGACACAAGAAGAAGAATTGCAGATTGCAGAGAACTGTTGGCATTTTACATATGATTGCTTGTGCATATGTGTGTGTGTGTGCACATTTATGTGAGAAAACGTGATGGCTGTCAGTTCTCTTTCTTGCCTTAAATGTTAGCCTGTGTTGTGCACGGTAGGCGTATCACTGGAAACTTTTTCCAGTCTATATTACACTGCTTTCCTATAATTGTGCTGTATTAGGCTGTGTCTCTCTTGCGCTCACGGCATATCATATTGGCACGGTGTTTAGGTAGAACATGCAGTGTGCGCAAATAGTTCATCCCTTTTCTACTGCCGTGCGTATGGAAGTCAGCGCTTTCATTCATTCCGTGCTCGAAACTTGTTTAGTTTGTTGGCTGTAGCCGCTGCTGTGCTCTCTGTGTGTGCGGCCAGACTTTAGTTCATTTCGATAACTTCACGAGTTTGCACGTGAAAAATTCAGTCTCTTCGCAGTTGCATAAGTTGAATGAAATCAGTAAAAAGTAACTAAATACATTTGAAAACAACTGAAACTAATCAGCGCCTTGCCACTCTCAACTCAATAAATTCTTGTTTAAAATTCTTTAAGCTGGCGTTGTGACGGGTTGATTTCGTGATCGTGTTAACTCGATTTAACGGTTTATCGGGAAATTAACTCAGTGATTTGTGTCAAGTATTTGTTAAATACAAAAAAATTTACAAAAATAAATTTGTTGAGAATTACACTAAATTATTACAATATTATTACAATTTCACAAATAAATATATAATTAAATTTTTTTAAACAACTGTAATTCAGTGTTGAGCAAAGCGCACAGACATATTTGCCTACCAAAATACAAAAATAAATCTACTTTAGTGCAAAATTTACTAAAAGTTGCGAAAAATTCTACAACAAAACTTAAAACTAAAATTAATCAAGACATGATTAATTTCTAGCAGTAATTAACATTTAAGCTTACGAAAAAAACTTCAAATCTAAAATAAACAAAATCGCCATAAAAGTTGTCAAAGCACGCCAAGTGCACCTGCTTCACCCAAAATCTAGAATTCAATTCGCTCGAGCTCAGTACGCTAAGCCTCGCTTCCGCGACAGTGAAAAACAGTAATCGATTTTATCTCAAACGCGGTTCATTCTTTGGCGCTATTTTACTTCGACGTCCCTCACCGGCTTTCGCACACGTTTACACTAGAGCTTAAAAGACTAAACTGCCGTCGGAAAATTAGTGCTGAAAAGTTGAAATCTATGCAAAACTTGTTGCGCGCTTCCATTTCTTAGTGCTTTGGCACTCTTATTGTGAAATTCTTTTTAAACGTATAATTCCTCTCCAGCCGTTACACTGAGCCACGCTCAGTTTGATTTTCCGCTGTTGCCTGTATACGATAAAAACTTCAAGACGGTTGCCTCACGGTTTGAGTGGAATGAGCATAGGGACTCTGGTCTTCCTTTCGATAGATCGGTTTTCAAAGTCGTTAAACTGAGCCCCAACTTGGAGCCCTACCCCGCCAGCGTGGAGGGCCTGAACAGCCCTAGAGCGGTGGGGATGGCCGCCACCTCGTACATGACACCTTCAAGTGGTGATCTCGATATGGCATTAGGTGGCGGCTACCACACCTCTTCGCCTCGCTCAGCCACGGATGCCGGTGAAATGAAATATATGCAACATCATCATCACCACCATGCGGCCGCTCATCATCAACTGCCTTCCTCACCTAGTCCAAATGCCGTCGGCGGTGCAGCCACAGGTGTATCAGCGAGTGGTCTCAGTTCAGTAACGCCAACTGGTGGTCTTGGCTCGAATCCCTGGACCGCATTACATACAACAGACCACTGGGCACTGCCTACACATCATACGCATCATCATCCGGCTGATGCGGTAAAACAAGAAATGTCACACTTAACACAACAATCACGAGTACAGCAAGGTATGGCTTCACCTCATGCCTGGCATGCCCCAGTACATGCAGCTGCACACTATCCACCTACAGGCAGCTCTCCACTGCAATATCACCCTGCTATGAACGGCATGTTACATCATCCGGTACATGCAGCACATCACCAAGGCGTAGCGTCCCTACATCATCCATTACGAGGCGAATCACCACAATTACACATACATCCACATCATTTACAAGGTGATCGTGACGTTAGTGGTGGTGAGGAAGATACACCCACCTCCGATGATTTGGAAGCATTCGCTAAACAATTCAAGCAGCGACGTATAAAGCTGGGTTTTACACAAGCTGATGTAGGCTTAGCATTGGGCACATTGTACGGTAACGTCTTCTCACAGACCACTATCTGTCGTTTCGAGGCTTTACAATTAAGTTTTAAGAACATGTGCAAACTGAAGCCGCTCTTACAGAAATGGCTTGAAGAGGCTGATTCCACTACTGGCTCACCGACCAGCATCGATAAGATAGCGGCTCAAGGACGTAAACGCAAGAAACGCACTAGCATCGAAGTAAGTGTAAAAGGCGCACTCGAACAGCATTTTCATAAGCAGCCCAAACCTTCCGCACAAGAGATCTCCTCCCTAGCAGATTCACTACAATTGGAAAAAGAAGTAGTGCGAGTGTGGTTTTGTAATAGACGCCAAAAGGAAAAGCGTATGACACCGCCAAATACGATGGGTGGTGATATGATGGATGGCATGCCACCAGGTCATATGCATGGTTATCACCCGCACCACGATATGCACGGTAGTCCAATGGGCACACACAGCCACAGTCATAGTCCGCCAATGCTTAGCCCACAAAACATGCAGTCGGCTGCGGGGCATCAGCTTACGGCTCACTAGCAATCAGAAATCCAGGAGTCGAACTCAGCTGCAGCTGCGTCCACTCCTGCATCCCTACACCAGCAACAAGCACACCAACATCAACAACAACATCACCAACATCACACACCCAATACACCGTCGTCCTCGGCAGGTTCCTCGACGACAATGACAACAAATGTGCTATCGCCACAAAGTCCGCTCGGAGTTAGCGCTGCTGGTAACAACAACAACAATAATAATAATGGTAACAACAATAATAATAACAACAACGATACTGATCACTTAACTCAGGTGAAACAACAGCAACAAGCATCATCAATAGCAGCCGCTGCAGCAGCTGCTATGTACATTGATCCGATGCGTTATCAACATCATCAGCATCCACATTTAAATCCTGCGCATCATCCACACCTCTTTCACACCAGCGAACAGCAGCATTCCGCACTGCAACATCCCGCCGCACATCATCAACACCTGCAACAGCCACAGACCTCACCGGGCAGTGGTAGTGGTGTGCTGCAAGCACCCTCCTCCTCACCATCGTCAGCGTCGTCTGTGTTAGGCGTTAGTGGTGCTGCCGGCATGCATCACCTTAATCTCAATCCGCATACACTTCACCAACATCACCACCATCAACAGCAACATCATCATCAGCAACAACAGCAACAATTACATGCGCGACGTTTGTTCGAATGGAGTCTACAGTTTGGCGCTGCACCCGGTGCTGTGCGACACTTTAACTCATTCGGTGGTGGTGGCGAATAGCATTCAACAGCGGCAGCAGCAGCGTCTGCTGCTTGGTTCGGTTACGAGTCCTCTTAAGAGCGTTTAGGGTAGCAGGAAACCAAATTTATTCCCAAAAATAGAGACTGCAAGGCGGACATAATTCGATTGAAAAGGAAATAGAATGGGTTACAGCAAATAATCGGTCGGTCGGGTAATCGATCGGTTGACTAGTTGCTAAGTCCGTTTGTCGGTGAGTCGGTCTGACATTGTAGTTTATTGGCATCTCGCCAGAGCTATACCAGTGCATTAATCTGTGTTAAATAAAAATAATTTAGTTTACTTAATTAAAATGCGCCATCTTACGTAGGCGGCGCCAGTCATAGTCGCAGTCGCTGCCTAGGGCATGGGAAAGGGCACAAGTTAGGCTTGGGCCAAAAGTCCAAAATTTTGAAAAATTTGAAAAATGAAAATTATTTAAAAAAAAAACAAAAGAAAATGTTTAAAAAACGCAATTAAAATCAAACAAGAAACTGAAGTGATGTTTTTATGAAAAATAAAAATAATTAAATGAAACTATGAAACTAATTAATAATTTAATTAATTATAAATTAAGTAAGTAATTAAGTGTTAAATGCGAAGTCATGAGAAACGCAAGTGGAGCAGAGAGTAATTAAATTCTGTGAAAATGTGTTGAAAATGTTCATAAATTGGCAGCGTTTTCAGGTTGCAACGAAATTGGAAGATTTTGACTTGAACAAGGTAAATTCCAAACAAATTTTAACTAGTAGAAAGCACCTCATTGGTGCTATTTTCAAATTCAGTTTAAATACAAAAACTAGAAACAAATCTTGCCTGCCATTTATTAACCTTTACAACACTTTTGAGCAAAATTTACAATGAATTTAAAATAATTAAAAAATATTTAATGGAAATGCTTTGAAAACTTCAAAATGCAGTTGAAATATTTTGCAAATCGAAAAGCTATAAGGTCCCAACCGGTAACAAGACTCCAACCGGTAAGGGTCTTGAGTTAAGCGAGAATGGTCTTGCCAAAAAGTATTCTTACATTTGAAAGATATGAAATTCAATAGATTAACTACAGTTTTGAAATATTTTGAATGCAATTTGTTGAACTTCAGGGCATTTCAATCAGTTGCAATACAATTTTAATATAGAAAAGTACACATTCCATAAATCCATAACAAATTGAACAGATTTATTAAGAATTATATAGACACAGAGAAAAAAATACATAAAAAAATACAAAACAAGTACTAAAATATACGATTTGTGTAAATAGTTAAGTCATTAGAATTTAGAAATTGTAAAGTAAAATTAGTAATAAAATTAATTAATTTTAAAATTAGTAAATATTCTATTCGGAACTAAAATTTTTTAAATTAATTGATATATACAAAATACATTAATTTTAATTGTAATATAAGTTTTGTGTAGGTACCTAAGATTATACGAGCAAATACACACAAATATACGTTATAGTTATATATATATATATATATATATACAATACATTATGTATAAAAACTTAAGTAAACTCCTTCTGAAGTGCAACACATCCCAACACAACATTCGAATAAGATACAAGATAAACACACATACACACATGCAAACACACAAACACAATTGTAGTTAAATTACACGAAAACCTAGTTGTACTATAAAATAAAAAACTCCATTTAAGAAATAAAAAAATAAAAATTATATGAGATATGATATATGATATATATGATGTATGAATGTATGTAATATATATGGAAAGCAACACATAACATATATTTCAGAAGAAAAGTCTAAAGAGTTGTGTAAAATTTATTTTTAACAATTTTTATAACTGTTTTTATTAAATTTTAATTTTACTAAATTAATTTTTATAACTAAATATATACAAAAATATTATATATATAAATAAATTACAATTTTGTTTATTTTATATTTTAACTGTGTAATTATTTTCTTTTATTGTAAAGAAAAATAAAATTTATATAAAAATGAGAATAAAAATTTATAGCTAAAATTAAAGCATAAAAATGATATGTGTTAAAAAATTATAGAAAACTGGAAAGTAACAAAAAAATGCAAAAATATTATATATATATATTTATATAAATATATATATATATATAAATATATATACAAAAAATAAAACATTTCTTATAATTTATAAAAAACAAACTACGCCACCAATAAAAATTGTATAGATACTTATGAATTACAACAACAATAGAGTTAAAAGTCAACCACATCAAATCTTAAAAACAACAACAAAAAATTTAAATATTAAAAAATATTTAAAAAAAAAACAAATAAAAAATTCTTAAAAATAAAAAAATGTTAAAAAAAAATTAAAAAAAAATTTTTTATTTAAAATATTTTTGCCGCCAAATTGAATAATCGCGAATTTTATTTGATTTTCTATAATTTGACATTAAACGCAAATTTATTTCAAGCATTTTTCAGGCGAATTTTGATCATTTCATTTGGCATGCAATTAGGCAGTCAGCCGCCGAAAGCCGACCGCCGACAGCCATCAGCCAAACTACGAACAAAGCAGGTTAATTATTTTTTATTTATTATATAAATTATTTTTATTATTTATGATTTAAAAACATTTTTTTCGGTTTTCAAGAAACGCAATTTTCAGGTAATGTTGCATCAGCCGAAAACTCAAGAAGTTCAAAATTGTAAAATCTTTTACGACTGCGAAAGGTGCTTTCCAAAATTCATGAAAAATAAAAAAAAATATCGAAAAAAATCGATAAACTGATATAAAAAATTGTTTCTCAAATGAGCCAGTTTTTGGATGTGGTGCGCCGGGAGTCAATAACATCTCTGATTGTTTACTGAATTTTACAAATTCTATAAATAAACGACAAATAAATAATTTAATAATTATATAAATGTCATATTATAGATATTCTACTAAATGTCCCGAAAAAAAAGTTGTGGGGTTACAATTCTAGAATAGCCAAAAATTTACTTTTGAATGCGGAATATATATACATATTTATTAGCAAATCATCTGGACTGTTTGACTGACTCTCTGTCTGAAACCATCTGGTAGCCCCCATTCCGAAGTAAATTTCCGGCTACGGACTTTTTCGATTTATTATACTATATATATATATAATATATATTATAGAATATATTATTAGTATTAATAGTTATATCATATTAACTACAAATATGATCTATGTAAGATGTAGTTTACTATCAGTAGTTCTAAACATTACTACTTCTTCAAAAATTGTACTATTTTGAATACTTAATTGCTTGACTCATTATTCTATGGTTCTAGGTACTGTTACTTTCTTTTTTTTTTGACTCTAACTCTTCCTCGATTGTCGAATAAATCTTTCGCCTTTTACTGTTACTTTCTCAGAGCTATATACTATAATGTGGCTTAAATGAATCGAAGGACTATATATACATATATAGTCTACGTGTCCGCAAATGAAAATATTTAACATAGTAAGTATTCTATTTCGAATCACGTGATAGTAAGCTAGATGTTTCATAGATCATATATATGGGTGATATGAGATAACTATTAATACTCATTATATTTTCTAGTACATAACTCTGAAAAAGTAGCAGTACCTAGAACTACAGGATAATGAGTTAAGCAGTTTATAGTAATGATAGTAGATGTCATGATGTGTCCACTAATCACAACAGAAATTTAATTTAATATATTTTAATGAACGTCTTGGAAAGAGTAATGCAGCTAAGAATCATAAAGTCATTAAGTATTTAATAATTTAATAAATATCGTATTAAATATTGTAATAAATAACTCGAAAATGATAGAATCGCAGAAGAATGATTTGTATAAGTACCTGCTTATCCTAGGACTAGAAAACCTTGAAAACCATCTTGTTATTTAGAGTATATAGTGAAGTAGCATTCAAAAACTTAAGTTTATTAAAGTTTTCTGATTCGTAAAGTTCTCATATGTGAGCTTATTATCATTTAGAGCTTATGATTTTGACACCATTTCGAGCTTATGACATAGTATTAAATAAAGTTTTGTACCAAAATATTGGACTACATCAATGATATTAGTATGGTGGAACAAGTATCTCAATCTCAATGTTTTACATATATGAATGTATACTAAACATGTTTCAGTTTTATATTCCATCAGCAAAAACATGCATTTAGCATTCTTGAAAAATAAATATAAATATATCGAAGACTGTGCAATAATATTGCTACCGGTTTGAGCTTTAAATAAAATAAATGTAATATAACTTTTTAGATGAAAAAACAAACTACATATAAATTCTTAATATCCATTTAACAAATTCGGAAGCAAAAAATTTTTCCCCATTTTAATTTGCTGTATTTTATTAGTGCATTACGTTGTTCTGGTGTTTTGTTTGCTCTGTTATTTGCTAAACGAAAATGTTGATCTATTAGTAAGTCTCTGTTTTTTGTTGCCATTCTTAATTAATTTCTTAATTAAATGACATTTATTGATTTGACGTGATTTGACGTTACATAAAAAAATATTTTATGTAAAGTATTTTTTCTACACAAATTCCATTTATCTTGTCCAAAATTGGCTTCTCTCCTGTTCTCTCCCGATTTTCTCATCCATTCTTATATATTCTACAAAAATTTCATCAAAATCGTTAAAATGAGCATATATCCGACAAAATGTTTAATGTCTTATCCTTTCGGTCTAAGGTTCGCCTCATACATATACTTCTAAACATATAGTAATCTGTAAAATCAGTGTATAATGTTTTTAAAAGTTTATAAATTGTGGAGATTATATATTGGTCTTATTACAAATTCTTTTATGTAAAAGAAAGAGTGATATTCTAAAATTAATGTCATTTCATCACGATATTTTAAAATCATAGCGTGTTAGAAGTCTTCCTCTTAAGAAACCTGAAGGCGCAAAATCCACTACATACATATACGAAGTTTAACAAAAAGTTTATAGGCGTATCGTCTACTTATTTTTAGTCCATTAAAAATATAATATATTCTTTTATTTGAAGTTTAAATTGATGTTTCACTGAATGGGTTTAAAATTTAGGAGGGTTAAGTTTTAAACATTTTTGGTTATATTATATTTAATTTTATCCCATCGTAATTATAATTATCACAAAATTTTACATAATTATTGCAGTAACATTTTTTCCAAAGCAGTTTTGTAATCACCATTAACCATTTTGTGACAGCGCGAATAACTAGTCTAGTGATCGGTATAGTATTACTTTTGAGACTCATGCAATAATAATCTTTAGACTTCTTTAGATTCTTTCTTTAGATAATTTTTTCCGATATTTCGAAATGGATCAGTTTTTCGTAGTTAAATAGATAATGTTAGAATTCGATAAGTTTACCAAATTCTATAAAAACGAAACTTAACAGTCAAAATGCTTGTTAACGGGCAGTTAAATATATAATATGTTGTTAGGTTACATATTATGAATACTTTTTATATATAATTGAATACTATTTTGTATATTTTGT